ATTTTGTTTAGGATTTCCGGAGTTTATTAATAATTTTAAATTCTCTACTTCTTCACGTAATCTATCAATTTCGGGTTTCTTTGAACTGTTATCTTTATTTATTTGTTGTGCTTTAGACTGTATCATCTCTGTCTCAATATCAAAAGGGGTTTTAGGAGTATCTCCCGTTATCATAAATTCAACCATTTCATATTTCCTAACATTCTTTTTTAATTTAGCCAGTGTTTCGTTACCCATTATACATATACTCTGTTCCAAAAGAGAGCATACCGCTCTGACGACCAATTTACGTTCGGCGGCGCGCATCTCCCCACCAAGCATCGCCGTTTCGACGAGCGCGCGCTTGCCGTCACGTTCCGTTAACGTTTTGTGAACTCGTACACCGCGTGTGCGAAATAACACAATATTATTCACTCTTGTATAACGTACCTACCGTATATACGACGCGTATAACACATCTCGTTTTTTATTTTACTATCGTTTTTTATTTCATTATGGAGCAACTTGGGGAAGAGAATGATCATCAAACACCAGTAAGGCGGAACGAAAGAGGAAAGGTAAATAATTAAATAACTGTTTGATTTATATTTTCTTCTTGACTCTTCTTTTATACATATTTTTATATAATATTTCAGTTCGTGTCATCTCGGCAAAAGCAGATGATTATTAACATCTGCAAAGCAAAATTAGAGACAAGTCCCAATTTGTCAATAAGACAAGCACGGGTAATTCTCTCAAACGAATTACACATTAGTATTACGACAATTTCTGAAACACTTACCGAATATCGGAATTCCAAAACGGTTTCATCCCCTAATAGGAAAAAATGTTTTAAAAATGTCTGTGATAAGCTTGATGATTTTGATAAAGATGCTATAAGAAGACACGTACATCAATTTTGGTTTAATCGCGAATTGCCAAATCTTCAGAAAATATTATTAGTTTTAAATGAAGACGAAACCTTACCGACGTTTACAAAAACAACCCTTTGGCGTTTATTAAAATTATTGGGCTTTGAATTTCATAATAGAGGACGAAACAGTGCGTTGATTGAAAATAACGAAGTTCGTTTATGGCGTAGGAGATATATAAGAGATATAAGGAAATATCGAGAAGAAGGCCGACCAATTTATTATCTCGATGAAACGTGGGTGAACGCCGGAGACGTGGTGATTAAAGTATGGTGTGACAAGACAGTCCAGTCAAGCCAAGCAGCATATGACAAGGGTCTTTCTATTGGAGCAGTCAATCTCACTGGAAAGGGAAAACGACTAATAGTGTGTCACATCGGCTCCGAAGATGGATTTGTACCAGGTGGATTGCTATGCTTTGAGTCTAAGAAAAACACCCAAGACTATCATGACGAGATGAATGGAAATACTTTCCATGATTGGTTAGGTGTTTTACCTAGGCTCAAAGATAATGCAATTATAGTAATGGATAACGCACCATACCATTCGATAAGACAGAAAAAATGCCCAACTACTAATTGGAGGAAGGCTGATATCAGTGAATGGCTGCGTAGCAAGGGAGAAGTTGTCGACCCAACTTTGATTATACCCGAACTTTTAGAAATGGTAAAAAGAATAAAACCCTTGTACAATAAATACGTTGTTGATGAGATGGTTTTACAACATAATAAAACAATATTACGGTTACCGCCTTATCATTGTGAGCTCAATCCGATCGAGTTAGCTTGGTCTGTGGTAAAACGACATGTTAAATCTAACAATAAAACGTTTAAATTAGCTGATGTAAAAAATCTTTTAATTGACGGAGTGGAAAAATTTGACGCTGATATGTAGAAGAATTTCATTCGACACACTTTCAACTCTCAATCAGCATGCGCGAAAGCGATATGATCTCTTTTGGAACGAAGTATATATATCGGGCTATGAATGGTTTTAATCCCTTCATAATATTTCTAATCATTTCCTCCTGGGGCATTTGATTATCAATCCTTCTACATAGGGATTCGGCGTCATTAATATACGCGACCGTTTGTTCGTCCGGCAATTGTTCTCTTTTCCAGAATCATACGAAGCATATCAGTTTGTGCTATAGGTTTAAATTCTAAACGTAAATTTTTTTCTATCTCTCCCCATTTTAATTTGTCTGAAGAGTATTGTAGATTATCGTAAAAATTTAACGCGGGGCCCTCCAAGAAGACAGCAATAAATTGAGTTTTATCTGTCTCAGACCAACCATTTATAAATGCCGCCCTATTGTATTTTTTTAAAAAAGTATCTATATTTTCTGATATGGCCCCCGAAAAATTACCCGGTTTGAAATAAGGTCTTTTATTATCACTCATTATGGGATTTATTTTGACTTTATCTATTTTGTTTAACGATTCTGGTGCAGTAACACAATTATTTTTAGTTTTTTTACTAATAAACTCTTCTGGATTATCTTCTCTTACAGTGTTCAATAAGATATTAAATAAATAAATATGTATACAAAAAAAAAACAAAGTCTGGATTATTATAGAAGGTGCTTGTATATACGATTTGAAAAATTATCAAGAGGTTATAAAACAGCAAAGGTAAATAAACGTGCGATG